GATACTATCAACCTCAATTGTTTAGAACAGCCGAAGCTGTGGTCACTAATCCGAATGGTATCAGATAACACATCCGATCGGGTGACGCAAGTGAAAATTAGTCACATCCATTTACTCTCCAAACAGTGCCTGATGATGCCGGGACTTAAGTCGCCTCTTACGACAGGCATGTCTTACCCTATGTATATTCTAACCCCTTACATTAGGATACAATAACAAATAAATAAAACAACATGAAATAAAATATTATACTAAATACTACAATATCGTTACAATATCCATTTAAAATAGACAGAATAGTTAATACATATATATCGCCCAATCACTGTGGAAAGTCACAAGCACAAGAAGACAAATGTTCATAAAATGGATTCCCAGAAAGCACTTGTGGAAGAAGTGCTATAATAAAAATTGAATAATATTAGTCAAAAAGTGTTAAGTGATGTAGTAATTATTTGAAACATACCCCATTGCAAATTCAAAACTTTTATGAAATTTCTATGGAACACTGGACAATACAAAGAAAAAGTATATCATTACAAAATTTGATAAAACCACATTTCTATATATTTCTTACATACTCTCCTCCTCCATTTACAAGAACACAAAACATCCACTGCAAAGACTAGTGCTGTACCATGATCGAAAACATTTTTCAAATAAGATACAAGCAAACTCTCTAAATTGAGATAATTGATAATTTCTATAGGACATTAGAAATTATAAAATAGAGTATTGGCACCGGTATCGTTACTTACAGGTTATAAAACAAATTAAGAAAAGTGATACTCTCAAAAGATCGAATCCGTTTAAAAAAACAAGAAGATTTAAAACCAATGTGGATTAAAATAATCCCGTAAATATGACCGATTTTAGGTCGTTTGATTAGCATTTGAAAGATATATAATTTTTTAATTGATTGTTCCCTTAAGTAGGACTACTTTTTGTAAAACTTCATCAGATACTTTAAATTCTTTTTTGTTTTTGATTTAAAAAATATTCTCATCACAGTTTTTTGCCTAAGTAATATACTTTCTTTCAATCAGACCATTCTTCTGATTGGGAAAAAGTATTTCTTAAATCAGTTGGTTTTAATACAAATTCTTTTAATTATAAATTATAATTAAATTGAATTGAAACCAAAGGTCAATAAAAATATCAGTGCTTTATGAAAATATTTTTTGAATTCTATTGTTCGTAGATACTTTTTGGACTGCAAGCACAAAGAGTTTAGTTTAGTTTAGAACCCCGCCTTATTTTAAGTACATATTTAGGTTTAAGCGACCTGAACCAAACTTGCAGTGACGTCAATTTGTTGTTCTTGTTTTTACAAGAAATTAAGTTGTTGTTATTTTAATAATAATTTATAATACAAATAATGAAAAGCATTAATGATAATTACACTTAAAATTAAAGAATGGTTATTATATTGTACTTAAATGCTCTCTGAAATACCCATATATTGACATTTAATGAGTGTTATTAAAATTGGTTCAATTAAAACTATAATTCAAGTATATCGAAAATATTTTAATTATAAAAGTTCATTTCATTTATTAAATTTATTCAGTTGGTTTTTTAAAATTAGTTACCATAAGCACACATAATCGATCAGGACCAACTAAAAATATGTATAAATATCTGTTGATCCTATTTCTAGTGCTAACCATAAAAAATGTTGAAAACGTTAGTATTAAAATAGAAGAATTATATTAAATATTTAATTAATTTTAAACATTATCCACAAAGCGTAAAGCTGTCAATATCACTAAATTAAAGTGCGAAAATTTGGATGAGGAGTTCTGCGAGATCAAAACTTGTGACTTGTCGTATTCGAAACAACATGGTTCTGTGTCTAGTTTTCGTTTAGGTTTACTTCAGAAACCAGTAACTAATGTGATGGTAAGATACTCCAAGTAATAAAAAAGTAAAAAATTAAATAAAACTCTTTTTTCTGTTAGTTGTCAATAAAGATAAAAAAAATGCAAATGGCTCAGAGTAAAGTAGTTTTTGCTTACACTATCGATGCATGTGAATTTTTGAAAAATAAGGAGTCCAATCGCATAGCTGAGATGTTTTATGTGTTATTAGGCTTTGAGAAATACACCAATGCCAATCACACGTGTCCTTATGACGTAAGATTAAATTATAGGCAAAACAAATGAATTCTAAAATTAATATATTGTTTTTTAATATTGAAGCACGACCTGATCATAGACCAATATCATTTCGATGAAAAGCATATTAACATGATACCCATCCCAGTTGGCAATTACAATTTTATTACAGTATGGTCTGTTAATAATATTTCACGTTTTAAATTTGATATAGATTTTAGTTTTTTGGAATTAAATTAATTAATTTATTAATGTAATTAAAATATGTTCTAAAAAAACTTATCTACAACAAAAAAAATAAATGTTTTGATTTACATATTTTTAAATTGTAAATGTATTATTTTAAAATACCGTTATTAAAATAAATCAATTATAATATTCTTCTTCCTAAAATACGTTTATTTACACGGATACTGGTGATCATATATATTTCATTTCCAAAAATATATTACACAGTTTTTAAAGTCGGTTTAAATTTATCATACGATTATCTTATACATGCGGCTGGTGTACTCGTCAGACTTCCTAGGACTTAAGCAAAGCAAAGCACTGATCAAACCGTACTCCTACAAAAAACAGTCTTAAATTCTCAAAAGGTAATTTAAGGTTGTTAACAGGTTTTATTACAGGATCTTATGGTTTGAAATATCACTTTCATAAATTACGATTATCTGCTAATTCAGAATGAAGATTATGTCTCGAAGATGATGAAACTACTATGCACATTCTTTGGGACTGTCCAGCTTTAACAACGCACAGAAAAGACTTATTTCATATGGAATTTCTCTCACCAGAACCGATCAGATTTAGTTCTGGACTTTGTTCACAAAACTTTAAAGAGCTTAACATTAACATTAGGAATTAACATTAATTAATTAACGATTGCTTTAATTTGCTGGACCGTTTTAATACATATATCCTATAAGATACATATATTCTTAAATATATTTTGTTATTTATATATATTACATATTATTGTAATATATTATTATATTATTTTATTAATATTATATATTATTATATGTTTCTTCATACAAAAAATTTTTACAGAAATTTTTTAATGAAGTTAAATTCTAGTTTTTTTATGCTGTTATCAGGCACTTTTTCTGCTTCTCTATATTTATATCAAAGAAAGTAACAGAAAATAGTAAATATTTACTTATATCGTTTTAAATTGGCAAATCTAGATTTGCTCGCAATCTGTAAAAAAATTTTATGGATCATTCTTTGAATAATTTGTGTTTAATAGAGTATTTAAAAATAAATACAAAAAAAAAATAATTATCAAAATAAAATAAATGTTTATCTGATAAAAAATTAAATGTGCTTTCGATGAATATAATTTTAGTATTTTTATGAAATTAATATAATAATCATTTAAATAATTTTAAGTTGCCGTCATTGCAAGTACTAAAATATGAAACTCTCTATTTGGTTTATATTTTTCAACATCTTTCTGGGCGCTTTCCTTATTAGCCCTACAGAAAATGTAAGTTGAACTCTAGTGCCATGAAAAAGAAAAATATTTATATGGAAGTGTTACACTCATACATACTATAATATGAACAGGTAAATGATTTCATTGCATTTATGTGTATATTTCAGCGTCGTAATGCAAAAGTTACTAGACTGGAGTGTCTATCATTTGACAAGAAAATGGTCAATATAACCCTTTGTGAAATCAAGGCAATACGTAGAGATGTCAGTATTCTTAATATAAGAACTAATTATAGTGAATTTCCCTTAACCTGTACACTAGTAAGTTTATTATCTGAGATTTGCAATGTAATACTAAGTGTTGTGAATGTATTAAAAATTTATTCCAGTTAGAAACTCAATTGAAAAATCGTGGCAATTCACGATCGCCGTATATCTATAATTTCACCACCAACTGCTGTGATTTCATGGAAAACAGAAATAAGTATCCATTGGCCAGTTTGTTCTACAAATTTCTAGGATTTGGTATATATAGCAATATGAACCATACCTGCCCCTACAATGTCAGTTGCTAAATGTTTTTATTTAATTTATTAGCTATTAATTATGTCATCTGCAGCATAATATATATGTGGAGAACTTTCGTATCGACGATAGTATGCTGTCTTTAGCACCGATGCCATTCGGAGATTACGGAATAACACTAAATTTTCGAGATTTAAATACCCGTAAAATTGCGATTCAATTTGATATTGGCTTCAAATACTTCGAGGATTATTCGTTTCAACGCAACTAGAAGAAAACCCATTTATATGAAAAATATCAGTATTTATTGGAGATCAGAATATTTACAAATATAATAAATATTTTATTAAAAGTGGAGAGATTTTTCTTTAATTATATTTCTTTAATTATAAAAAAATTAAAATCATTTGTCTAATTATTTCACATCTACTTACTAAATATTATAATAGTATAATATATAATATGCTAGTATAATATATTTGTTAATATAAATAATTTTTCGAAAGAAAAATTATAAAAAAAATGTATGATCTTGACAAAGTGCTAATAGTATATAGGGACTAATAAAAGAGCGTCATGTTGAAAAATAGATCATTGTATACAATTTTCAAATGTAACTTGCTGAAAAACATCAAAGTGATTTAGCATAAGATTGACTGGTGGGATGAATGAAGATAAAAAAAAAATAGGCGAGAATTGACAAGATCAGATTTTTCATTAACTCCCAAATAGAGAAGATAAGAAACGTTTCCTACTGTTGATGAACCCATTATTTACAAATAATATATTAAATCCAATATTAAATTTGTCTAATGTAAATTTTTATCATGTTGTGAACCCGAAAACTGAGTTGGTCTGATTTGATATTTTCTGACAATTAAAAATTAAAATATTACTATAAACTATAAAATAAAATTTTGTTTTTTTTGTTTTTAATATAATTTTTAACGTTGATTGTTCAGTTCTTGCGTTCGTCCAATTGGTGAGAAATGAATTCGATCAGGTAAGTTTCGAGACACATTATTTTTTTCACTTTCTGATCATTCAACACATTCCTTTATATCCTAGCATTCCTTTGATTACGCACGAAAGATATCAGTATGAAATATTGTCTACTGAGAGACAAGAATCTACAAATTTGTCACCTAACAGCAACACTAATTTTCTTGGCTTACTGCAGCATTTCAATCGCACCCTCCGCGGGAGATCAAAGCAATTTAATAACCAATAACATTTCCAACATCTCTACACCCATTACACTCTACAAAACTAACCAATTACATACATTGAATTGTCAGGACGGTTTAATTTTCAAAGCTTGGAAGCCTCAAACTAATTTAACAACTTCCGTAGTCGCGGGTCGCGGTATGTGTTACTTCTTGGCACTCGTTTATTTGATTATTGGAGTCTCAATAGCCTGCGATCGTTTCATGGAAGCAATTGAAGTTATAACAGCTCAAGAAAAGAAAGTATATGTACGACAAAATAACGGTGATATGAAAGTATTTATGGTGCGTATTTGGAATGATACCGTCGCGAATATAACACTTATGGCATTAGGGTCCAGTGCACCAGAAATTATGCTTGCACTTATAGAAATGTTTGGTAAAAACTTTAGTGCAGGCGATCTCGGTCCTGGTACAATCGTTGGCTCTGCCGCTTACAACACTTTCGTTATTATAGCTGTTTGTATTGCAGCGGTCCCAGATGGCGAATCTCGGAAAATAAAGCATTTAAACGTGTTTTTCGTAACGGCAACCTGGTCTACATTTGCTTATATATGGCTTTACATGATTCTTGTACCTTTTTCGAGAGGTCGAATTGATATTTGGGAAGGCGTCGTAACGTTAATATTTCTGCCGATAACTGTGTGGACTGCTTACTTGGCTGACCGTCGGCTATTTGTTTTCAAATATTTTGGTGATGAAACCAGTCAGCACAAATTATCTATTGTACCTGAAACAGATAAAGAATTGGAGAGTTCTCTGCTTAGAATTGACGAAAGCGACAAAACTAAAGGTTTCGAGGAAGCTCGTCGTGAATATATTGCAACACTGAAACGCTTGCGTAAAACAAATCCACAATGTACCTTATGGCAATTAGAGACAATGGCTCATGAGCAGCTTATAATTCGTGAATCCAAATCGCGTGCATTTTACCGTGTGAAAACTTCTTATTGGCTGTTTGGTAGAGGCAGTTTGTTAAATAACGACGCACCTCAACTTCCAGTTGATTTGAGCAGCCCAAAAACCACTCCGAAATCAGTTGATGTTCACGTGGAGGATGAAGAGACTACTGTTCATGTGTTTTTTGAACCTGGCCATTATACAGTGATGGAAAGCATTGGAACATTTGATGTGCATGTGGTAAGACGTGGTGACCTTTCCATGCACACTACTGTAGATTATCAAACTGAAAATGGTGCAGCTATAGCTGAAAAGGATTTCATTGCCAAAGAGGGTACATTAATTTTTCCTCCCGGTGTAGATGAGCAGCGCATTAAAATTGAAATAATTGACAACGATGAATTTGAAAATGATGAACATTTCTATGTACGATTAAGTAATCCATCAGAGCCTGCAGTGCTTACAACTCCCAAAATCGCAACAATCATAATTCTAGACGACGATCACTCTGGTATATTTTCATTTAAATATGCTGAGCACAAGTGCAGCGAGTCAGTCGGTGTGTACGAACTGGAAGTAAAGCGATATTATGGCAAATTTGGTGACGTGATTGTGCCGTACTGGACCGAGGATGGTACAGCGCAAAGTAGACGAGACTATATGCCTGTAAAAGGTGAATTATTATTCGAAGACGACCAACTGACGGATTTAATACCTATAAAAATAGTGGACGGAAGTAATTTTGAAAAGGACGTTTACCTAACCGTAAATTTAGGTGCGCCCTACCCAGCACCAAACAACAAATTAGAAGAAATAAAACAAAAAGTTGAGGGAAGGAGTTCGGAGCAATTAACTGAGGAAGAAAGATTGGCAGTAGCGGCACTACCGCGTCTTGGTGAAATTACTAAAGCTAAATTATATATAGTAGAAAGTAAGGAATTTCGTAACACTGTAAATCGATTTGCACTAAAAGCTACAATACCTAAACTATATAGAAAACCAGTTCATTATGAGCCAATGCGAACAGAGCAGGTAGAGCAACCACTACCAAGCGGAGTCTGTTTCTATACACTGCAGTTTTTAACGATTTTTTGGAAAATTATTTTCGTGTTCATACCTCCCGCTTATATTGGAGGCGGATATGCATGTTTCTTCGCATCATTGGGCTTCATTGCCATGATCACAGCACTGATCGGGGATGTAGCTTCACACTTCGGCTGCACACTCGGCATCAAGGATTCAGTTACCGCTATTTGCATAGTGGCACTCGGCACGAGTATACCGGATACTTTTGTGAGTAAGATTGCGGCAATGCAAGATAAATATGCTGATGCGAGCATCGGCAATGTCACAGGAAGCAATGCGGTGAACGTTTTTTTAGGAATTGGTTTAGCATGGACCGTTGCCGCAATTTATCAGTATAAGCAAGGTAGAACGTTTGATGTAGTTCCCGATACAATTGCATTCTCAGTTGCGGTTTATACGATAGAAGCGTTAATTGCAGGATTTGTTCTTCTAATACGTCGTAAGAACGGAGGCGAATTAGGAGGCCCAATTGTTTGCAAATACATATCATCTGGAATTTTCTTATTTCTGTGGATTGCTTACCTATTTTTGAGTGTACTTGAGGCTTATCATATTATTGAAGTATAAAGATGATAGTGAATGAATGGGTTCAAATGCTATGAAAATAATTTTACTATTGCGTTTAGAGTACTTGGTACATTTATTTTAAAATTTTTGATTGAATTTTATTTTAAATACATATATATAATGTTGTAAAATTACGTTACTCAGAATTAAGTTTACATTTTTATTTAATAATTAATAATATATATTATTAATACAAAAATAAAATAAGTGCGTATTTAAAATAATTATTTAACCTTATCTTGATTTGATTTTACTATAATTGTTGGATTTAATTGATCAATTCAATCAAGTTTTTCTACATATTGAAATCATATTTACTTTAAAATAAATTAGAAAAATACCATAGTGAAATTGATCATAAATGAGCAAAGTACAATATATCACCACATCAGATGTCATGAAAAAAAATCAATATAAAATAAAATACGCCGATCTTACTACTATCTGCAAAGAATAAATAGAAGAAATTATTCTATTAATAGAATAAATTGAGAATGTAGGTTTGAACAGTTACTGTTAAGTGACTTATTTCTATTTTCACAAAGCAAGAATGGATTGATGAAAGCAAACTACCATTACATTTCTAATAAGCTTAGTTCCTTGAATATCTTTACAATTTTTATACAGTAATTATATATAAAACAACAAGTATTTGGTTTATCACTTATTAGAGTCTTCATACATAAATTCAGTTATATTGAAAAATTATTCATTATGCACATTCTACTCATACTGATAAAATTTTAGAACAGCTCTTTATATAAATTTAACTAAAATATAAAATGATTCAAAATAATAACTAACACTTATTCTACTAAAATATAAAAAGCATCAGAGTGAAATGCTACTAAAAACTAAAAAGGTTTCAACGTTTTTTAAACTGAAAATCGCTTAAATTCAACTCATTTTTTACACAAAAATTTAAAGCATAGTTTCGGGCTCTTTCGTGTGTTTATAATTTTAATTTTTCGAATTACTTATCGTATTTTATACGAAATAAACTAATAATTTTAACATTCATTAGAAACTTTACTGAATTTAATCAATCTTTCAATGCTATGATTGGTTAGAAGAAACTTTATACGTATAGATTATAACTTTAATGTATTAGTTATAAAAATGATGTAACACAAGAACTATGAGTTCATATCATAAAATGCATGAACACATGCCACATAAAAACAATTATATAAAAAAAATTTTTAATAACATAAAAAGGTTTTGTTCTGTTTATTAAACATATTATTAGAAAAAAAATTTTTTGTCTTATTAAAAACTTTATTATGTTGCTATCTCTTCAAAACTAATTTGATTCTTTAAAGTTTAATGAATTTGAAAACGCTCAACTTAACAGAACTTAACTTTAATAAAATAAAATAAAAATTCCATTTTACCTTATTTACATCTTTCATTTTTTTATTTTTTCATCCAAGTATACGTAACAAAAGTTGAAGACGCAGAAGAGACAAGACAGTAAACGCACTGCACTGTAAACGCATCAATCATATGCATAAATACATTTTCTCACACTACAACAGAAAATTTGCCACTCTGCAAACTTTACTAGCTGTCCATCAAAAAGCACTCGACAGCATATCAACGAACGCCATGAACAATGTTAAAACAGCATAGCATAGCATACAACAATACCAGCAGTGCGAAGGCAACGTTTATGTCTAACAGCCTTTATGAGTTGCTGTAAAATATGAAAATGATTTCTGTTGTTACACTGTAATAACAATAACAACAACAACAATGGCACATGCAAATGCAAAAATAGAAAACCAACAACAAGGGCAATTGCAATACCAATGCATACTGCTTATAGGTATTTCATATTATAGGAGTATGCCATTTTTTCCATTTTTTATATTGCTTTCTTTGCTACTGCTTCCACTTTTGCTGCTGTTGCTGCTATTGCTGCTGCTACTACTACTAATATTGGTTTGTTGTTGTTACTGCTGTTTTAAAAGCTCAAACCTTTTGTTAAATATTTATGTTTGTAGTGGTAGTTGATGTTGGCACTGTTGTAGGTATTGTTTGTATATTCGTCGCTGTGAAGTTTTCAATTTAATTTGATGAAATATTGAAGGTCGTTAAGGTTGATTTGCATTTATTGCTAATGGCAACATGTAATTGCTTGTTAATATTTGTGTAAGACTCTGTGTGCTTTATGTGTGTGTGTTTGTGTGTGTATTTGAGAAGTATGAAAGTGTCAATAGTTACACTGACAATTTTGCTTTTCTCAAAGTGAGTTTAGCTTGGACGAAAATTTAATTTTGAATGATGGCAAAAATATATTATAAATGCTTTGGCATTTAATAGAAACGCTGAATAAATTCTTTTGTCGGGTAAAGTGAACAATAACGAAATTGCAATATTTTTTAGGTACTGATATAAATACATTTCAAGCAAAATATATTGAGTCAATATGCGTTATTTCAAAATAATTGATTAAATTTTTTATTAGTTATATATATTTGTAAAAAAAGAGCAAAATATTACAGATTTGTGAGACTGTCTGTTGCTTATAAACACTTGAAATATACCATTCTATATAATTAGTTAATTGAATTCAAACATTGACTTTACTCTTCGAGTCTATTCTTCAAACTGAGCTTTATTCTTTTTGTTAGTTATACATGACAGTTATACGTGATTGCATACCCCAACCATCAAATATTTTAAAACACAAAAACAAAGTAAATTGTGTATATATATATATATATGAGCAACTTTATCAATTACTAACAGAATAAATTTCCAACAACTTAATTCTAAGTTAGTTCTCATATACATAAGGAACAAAGAAAACCATAATGACGGAATGCGGAAAAAGTCATCATCAGTTAACAACACAAGTTCAGTTCGATCAGCAAATATTTCACATACATAAAAAAAAATGCAATGCAAAAGAATTCTTCTATGCTTACAACGAACAGCGAAAACCAATTGGTTCTCCCCTTTCTCCCTATGTTTACTTTGGCACCAATAATAGAATACACTGTTTTCCATAAAGTAGAAGGGATCAAATGATATTATTCAGCATAACTGATTCCACCTTAACTAATGATTACGCGTATATATGTATGTGTTTTTATTCATTTAAAGCAACTTAGAAACATACAAACTTCGAAAAATAAATTAATAAAAAAATATATATAAAAATAATATATACATGGTGTGTGAAATATACATACATACCTCACATAACAATATCAATCACAAAAAACAACAACTGTTCAATACATCAACAACTACGTACCGATTCTTGTTGTTGTAGACTTTACTTTGATGTTTACGCAAAGAAAAATAAAAAACACGCATACATCACGACACAACAGGAGAACAAACAACAACGACATGTTCACGGCCCACACCACAGTAAACATATTTTGGCCATATTATTATTATTAATTATTGTGATTGATGCTGATGTTATGAACAGAAGTGGAACAAAGTAATAAGAAAAGAAAAAAAACTTCAATGGCTAACATTGCCAATCTTAAAAAAAAACACAAAAAATTTTTATTGCTACAAAGTATTTATTTAATAAAAGTTATTATCAAATAAATGTTATAAATAAAATACTTAAAGCATTATTATTACTGCAATGTGTTTAATAAAGAATATCATTAAATTATTATAATATTTTATATATATAAAAAAAATATAAACTTAACCTACACTGAAGCAAATTTATACAGAATATTTCACTAAAATATTTTATATAATTTCTAGTTATTTTTATAAAATCTAAGAAAAGTTACATACCTAAAATATATAAAACTTTACTTAAATATTTCTAAAGTTTAGTGGAACATATCACTAGAGAGTTTTTTACGAAATATTTCATTATGTTATAAAGCTTTTTTAATTTATCACACACGTTTTTTTCTAAGTGTAATAAACATAAAAATAAACTTACAATCCTATGAAGAGACTAACAGATTCACCTACAAAATAGAGCATATTGCTCACAATATATATACCATTTATAAATAATTTTTAATAAATTTTATTTACTTAACTCGTAAATTTGCTACCCCATGCACCACCACCACCTTACACCCCTGATGATCATTGCCAATTATTTTAAACACAGTAGAAAACACAAAAGCGGCTCATCTCAAATCATCAACTTTTATTAAGAATTATTATTATAGAATTTTGTTGCTGTTGTTTTTGCTTTTTCATACACACAATTGCTGTAGAGCCAATGTTGCTGTTATTAACATTATTCACATTATTCACATTGTATGTTAATTTCTAAACAGATTTCAATGTATTTACATACACACATCCATAACGTAACCCCCCACTCAACGTACACATATAGCAAGTCATCTCGTCGTAATATCCTGTCTAACTTAATATCCTGTCATGTTTGGGTTTTCGCCACGCTATGTCATTGTGAACATGTGTGTGTGACTTTGTTTATATCTTAACATATAAATAATTAAATTCTTAATTATCTCATATGCGAAATTGTCATGAAAACAGCAACAACGACAACAACCACAACGAAATTATAAGGACACATGCAAATAGAAACGCTAAGGAATTTGTTATAACTGAGGTTAGTTATTAGCCTATTATCCTTTATGAACTTTCTCTTTTAATACAATAGTTCCTAGCATGTCTGTTTAGCATATCCAAGTCCATCGGCACATGTTCACACACACCTACCTATACTCATTTAAGTGTTTGCTTGCATTTTCATTTAATTAAGTTTAATAATGTATCACCGGAAGTGAAGCGAAAATGAAAAATAAAATGGTGAAATCGTCTAACAGCAAATATTCACACTAGTTTCGTGTTAATTAGGAAATTAGTATGCATTATTATGTGAGCAACCAACAATTTGAGTAGTTAATATTCAAATCACTTTCCTTGAGTTCAGCAAGGATAGAGATTCGCTATCCCTATTCGTCTTAAATTAGTTCGTAAAAAGATAACAGCTTAAAAGTCAAGAACTTATTAATTATATAAAATTTAAATTTACATCCGTAACAATTTTAAAAATCAGAAAAAGAAGAAAATAAAGAGACATATATGAGTACATTAGTAATAATAAAAAATAATATTATAATGTATGTTATTATACTTATTATATTTATTATAATATTCTAGTTCTATTTAAAAATTA